CTTTCAAAAGGCTTTCAATAAGGTCCCTTGTAAGAGATTAGCATGTAAAATATTAATGATTTAGATGAAGGAACTAAATGCCATAACTCAAGTTTTGCAGATGACCCAAAACTGGATGGGATGGTAAACTGAGGATGCAGCAAAGATACTTTGATCTTGTCCAAAAATCACAAGTTGGCAAATGCATGGCAAAGATGTATATAATGTAGATAATTGAGAGGTTATCCACATTAGTAGCAGAAACAGATGGATTATTATCTCACTAGCAAAAGATTGAGAAAAGGCAAGGCGAAACAAGACCTGGATATACTTAAATGATTTTCTAGACTTTTTTAAACTCCAACTTGCTCATGATCATTCTACCTTTTGGTTCTTGTGGGATAAAATGATCACTTTTTGTGTAAATCAAGATCTGCGACTTCTTTAACTCAATGTCCTCATTCCTATTATAATCCTGAACTTGAGGAATATTTTGCATTTTTTTGTGTGAATTTAGTTATCATATTCCTTAAAGATCTGATTTTGGTGAGTAAAAATAAACTATATATGATCCAAATTTCTTAGTAAGAATTATGAAAAACTGTCCAGCTTTGGATCGATGGTGAGATTGTGCCTGCAGTTCACATCAGCCCCCCTCTAGAGACCTATAATCGTGGATGAAATAGAACTGAGCCTTCTCCATCTGATCTGCACAAAGCTTAAATAGAATACCTTTTTAGAACAATATTCACAAACTGTATGTGTAAACTTGCTTTTATGTACACAGGTTAATTTCACAAGTCTGAGGACAGTTTTTAATCAGTGCTAAATTGCTCAACTGCCCTTGAGGTTGATCTCAACTCAAGAATGCCCTTGTTAGAAGTATAACAACCATTTTGCACAAGGATGTTCTTCTCACTTTTTCTTGGATCTTGTAAATTTGCAGCCTGTTCTCAATTACTGATGATCAAACATTCCTGTAAGTGTGCTAACCACTGTTTCCTGTCTCTGCTGCCCACATACTGAGTGTAACATGCAAGGGTGGGGTCTAAATTTATTTTGAATTACTTGATCTTTGAGTACAGCTTGATCAGTCTCTACATCAGAAATGTAGTGCTTGTGGAGAAATTGTGCCTCTTTGTCTCTTTTTATGGTAAACTTACTAAGGTTTTTTGTATCTAATGTAATATTAGCTCTGTTTTTAATTTAACTTGTTTCTAGTTTCCTCTTGCAGCTAAAGATCTAGTCTATAGGTTCACTTGTGTTGGATACCATTGAGTTGAGACATTGGATGTTCTTAACTGGTATCCTCCCTGAACTTCTAAGGATTTGATCCATGTTGACACTGAGACCTGCGTGTTTGATTTGCTGCCAGTGACCAAAAATTCTCCCCTATAAACACAGCTGTCGGCTTACTTTAACCCAGACCCTATCTTTGTATTCTTAATGAATTAATTTATTGGGTACTTGGCAATTTTTTTCAATGTGAATATGATTAAAGCTATATTTTATACATTTTTATCAAGAACTACACACCACAGCCAAATGTAGAGTAGTTATTTTTATAGCTGCACTGCATATGTAATAAATTGTAAGCATTTAAAAATCTTGATATGCTTTGAGAGATTTAGTCAACTTTAATTTGAAATCTGAGGCAATCACAGGATTTATCAAATACTCAGGATTAGGTGGTTTTTGCCAGAGAATCTGCAGAAATAATGCAACAAGATGAGTTTTTTTCAACAAGAGCCTCTTGTAGACTTTAGGATCAGAAGATGTGATTTTTTTTCAGGCGAGGTCTTTTGAGTTTAGCTTGAACTGAGTGCTCACTAACTCTTGACCTGATGACTCAGTTATCCTGATTAACAAAAGAAAATCATCTTTGTCCTAGGAGAAAGTTTTGATATTGAATGTTTCATGAAAGCAGATGTGGTTAGGTCACATAAGATAGCAATTGAAATCAGCTGTTATTTGGATACAGATAACATTTGAGTTACACTGAAAGCTTGATGTTAGCTTTTAGTTCCTTTTTAAAAGGAGAATCACTCAAGTCATTACTGGCAAAGTTACCCTGCTTAGCAGACACTTGAATTTGTTTTAAATAAAGTTTGTTTAACTTTGTTTTAGAAGTGTATTTAAGATGCCCATGTGCCCACTTTTTAATTTGTTATGCTATCTATGTACCTGAATGGGTTATGTTCAAAAGTGATTGGGATTTGAACATTACGTGTTAGCGTGCCAGATAGATGGCACCCAATGTAGTACAACTACTTCCACTTATAAAGCAGCTTTTAATGTAATCCAAAATGTTTGACTTTGGACCACATATAAGATTTTGTTCAAATATTTGTATATACTGTCTGGAGCTAGGTCTTAAGTAATTTGCAGGAAGAAAGATGATACAAGGAATTTCGGAGCTCAAGACCCGAGCAGCTGAAGGTTTGGTTTCCAGTAGTGATATGATTAAAATCAAGCAAAGGTTGTGGTCCCAAACAAGGTTGTTTTTGGGAGTGGGGAAGGTGGTGTGGGGGCTTGTAAGAACTGGGAATGTCAATTTTAAAATGAGGTGCGATTGTCAATCTTTAAGTACAGGATGGTAAGAGAACAGGACTTGGTATGAATGTTGAGCGCAGCAGAGGTTTGAATGGGTTCAAGTTTAGGAAGGTGAATGATTGGAAGTCAAAAGTAATAAAGGCATGGATGAAGATTTTTGTGGCAGATACGTTGATGGAAAGAGTTGGAAGATGTGGCATTGGAAATGAGCCATCTTGGTTGATGGCACAGATACATGGTCAAAAACAATGGCTCTAACTTATTTGATCCAGAGACACCTGGTTCAGTCTTGGACAGTCAACAGAGCAGATGACATGGAGTTGGTAGCTCATTAGTGTGGGTGAAAATTGTGGCTTCACTCTTCCCAATATTTGAAGTTGAACAAGCCTCGTCACATTTGACTGCAGTGGGTTCAAGAAAGATGAAGAAGAACTGAAATTCATGAACATACACGTAGACAGCTCAGCTTTGTAGTTCAAAACCTCAGGCAAAGTATCCTCTGTTGGTGTAACAATTATCCAACTCTTGCACCTGCCTCTGAGTTGGAGCAAAGTTTTAATAATGAACAAGATTTGATACTCTTTACTGTTTTATTGTTGTTGTTTGAGAAGTTTCAATGAAAACAAAATATAAATTGGTTATCCAGAGAGGCTCCATCATAGTCATACAGCATGGAAGTGGACCCTTTGGTCCAATCAGTCTACCCAACCATGTTCCCAAACTAAATTAGTCCCCCCAAACTGTTCTTGTTCGTGAACTTATCCAAATGTCTTTTAAACATTGTAATTGTGCCCACATCTACAGTTGGCTCTGTTTTGATGCGTTCCTGTTCAACATCGTGCTATAGAAATTAGAGGGCCTATGGGAAAAGTGGGGTTAGGGGCAGACCACTGGAAAAAAATCTCTCAAAAGCCTAGCACAATTTGAATAGATGTTTATTGAAATAATGAAATTACAGTAACATGAACACTTTGCCTTAATGTCAAGATCACTTGAAGGAGGAGGAGGTTACACTGTACCTCTCTTAGCACTTCATGACAAAGCCTGTGAAATAATCACATGATGCTGGTACAGAGACCCTTTTGGTGCTAACGTACATATTCATGACAAAGCCCATGAAACAATCATGATGTTGATGCATACTCCCGCACACACAATTGGAATCGAGTTATAGCCAACACAAGTTTGCGTTTTTAAAAAAGCGCTTTTCCCCCATTCGTCAATCACATTAAAGCCATTTGCATTGAGGGAACACGCGTTATAGCAGAACTGACTATCAGCAGACAAAAGTTGAAAGATGAGAAAACCTTTTTGATATAATTATCAAAGAAGAATTTGGAGGAATTGTCAGCACAGCTGAAGTTAACAGGTTGAATATCTTTTGAGAAAACAGCTTTTTTTCAATATTATAAAAGATCATCTCATGGGCAATAGGAAGAAGCATTAAAATTTCAAAGGAATACGCAAATTATTGAGCAGGTTGTAGATGAACAATGCTTTTGTATAAGGGACACATAGTAGAATGTTTTAGTTACAACTTAAATATCTGGAGGAGGATAGGACAAGAGCTGATGGCATTCTGACAGTATCACTAGCCTTGTATCCTAGAGATCCAGGATGAGACCCTGGGGACATTTTGTTCAAATCCCACCAAGGGAAATTTAATGAATTAACAGGATCTGGAACTAAATGTTAGCCTTAGTAGTGGTAACTCTGAAACTAACATCAATTGTCAAAGGCCAATTTGGTTCACTTTCCTTTGAGAAGGAAATCTGCTATCTTGGGTCTACCTGAGATCCCAGAACCATGGTAACATGGCTTACTATCCACTGCCTCTGAAATGGCTTGGGGAATTGTGACATTTAAAAAGTAATTATTAAAAAGCACAAAAGATGAATGGATACTGTCAACATTTAACAGTTGGGTTAAATGACCACTTTTATCGTACAGATACTTTGTAGTGAGAAAATAGATGCATAGGCTGGTTGATTGAATGAAGAGGGTGATGGGGTTCCTTGCATTGGTTGAGGGAAGGAGAGGCAAAGATATCTTTGTGATAGTAAAATTGGCAATATTTGGACTGTGTACAGAATTCAAAATTGATAAGTTGCTGCCACTTTATATTTGATGCTAAGGCAAAGTAGAGATCTTTTTTTAATTTTTTCAATTGGAGCCCCATTCCCTACTATGAGAATCTGAAGTATACATGTATTCACCAGTATCTTAAGTTATTCTTTCCATTCATACTCTGTCCAATATTACAGGTAATAAACTAAAGGTCATTGGTTTGTCCAATTTGCAGGTTATTTTGAAACCCTGAAATGCAGAAAAATTACAGCCTCCAAGTGAAGAGAATACCCACATTACATGACTAAGTTGCACTTTACTGATTTTACATAAAAAAAAATTGAAGGTTTTTCTTCAGCTGGCAGGAAAAGCTTTACCCTTAAAATACTTTTTTGTTACAGCTTATCCACAGCATGGTTATTGACGTATCAGTCGTGTTTCCGCATTCCTTAGGGTTACCCCACAAACGGGCCCTCAGGAATTTAATAGCAGAATACCTCGGCCATAGCATCCCAGACAATGGTAAGTAATTATAGAACATTAATGGAAAGCAGAGTAAATCATTTAGACTTTTGCACCTCCTTATCTTGACTTTCCCTTGGAGTACAATGTTTTTGATCATTTTCAAATGTGGTCTTGCCAAAAGTCTGATTATAGTAAGACACTTTCATCTTTTTATTTTAGTCCTTTTGTAATAAAGATTAAGCTACCATTAGCTTTCATCATTGTTTGTTGGAGCTTTGAGATCAGCTGGATCCATTGGAATACCAACATTTCCCAGCCCCTTTTTTTTTTTAAAAAAAGAGTTTCTAATTTATTTGCTAACGTGAATAACTTCTGCACATTTTTGCCCCCTTTTTTGTAATCCATTTTCCTCCTATGGCCTTTTCTTAAAATTCTCTGTTTACTTTCTCTCACTAGCTTGTGTCATCAAGAAAAAAACCTGGATATTATACACTCGGTCTTTTTACTGAAGTCATTGATGTAGATTGTCGAAAGATTGTGCTGAAGCACCCCACCAGTTACTCCTACTGTGATCTGCCTATTAATCAAGCCTCTAATGGCCCAGTCAGCCCTTTAGTTTGAAGGGTAATTGGCGTTGGCCAATAAATGCTGAGCTTGCGAGCAACACCTGCATCGTATCAAAGAAATTAAAGTGCAGAAATCAGAATAACTGGTTGATTCTCTTTCTTCCCCTCCACACCACCCCTCCCCAACCTTTTTTCCTTGAATAAAAAGTTACATTTGAGGCCTTCTGATCCATGCAGGCCATTCTTGAATCTAGGGACTACTGGAAATTGAAAACCAAGGCATTTCCCTACTAGATTTAATTCCTTGGGGAATGCATATTCGTGACAAACTGTGCACCTCCCATCAATAGTGGATGACTTGTAATTAACAAAACAATCATTTTATACAAATAGCGCTCATTCTTTATGTTGCAACATTTCAGCTGGAATCAGCCATTTGACCCCTTGAGTCTGTTTTACCCTTTGATAAAATCATGGCTAATCATTGCTCTGTCAAGTGGAGTAGAGGCCACAATCAAATAAAAGATGTAAATAAGAGATTCCGTAAGTAGTGAATAGAATCTGGTGTAATCCTTTATCACTTTCTCACCTTCTCATCCTCCACCCTTGGGCATGTTAAATTCTCTCCATAGTTTGGCTATGTGGGATTTCAGGAATGTGGAATAGTGATCTATTGCTTTGTTCCTGTGTCTGGGCCACCTCAACCTCAAATAGAGATTTCACAAATATTTGATGGTTAGTAATGATTTGAGGTCATCTCAGCTGCCCCATTTGTCTTCAATAGAAAAATGTGAAGCCAAGTCAGAGAAATGATACAACTCGGAAGGGGGCCGTTTGGCCCAAAGACACTCTGATACCCTTTCTGATTGTGTCTTTCAGCACACGTGTGTAGCCCTGCATCTAGCAACGCTTACAGTGCAGATCCAGATACTTGTTAAGAGTTTAGGGTTTCTGCCTCCACCACTAATTCAGGCAGCAAAATCCAGATACCCAATATCTGTCTCTTTTAATTTAAAGTTTATCCTCCTGTCCCCTCTAATCTTTTTGCCACTTAGCTTGAATAAATGACCTTTGGTTTTTGAACACTCTGCTAAGGGAACCAGGTTCCTCCCTGTCTACAGTATCTCTACCCCTCACAATTTTGTATACCTCAATCATGTCACCCCTCTGCCTTCTCTCTCTTTTCCAAGGAAAATAACACCACCTCTTCAGTCTGTTCCTTTTTAGTTACAGTTCTCCAGCCCTGGCAGCATCCTAGTACATCGTCTCTGCAATCACTCCAGAACAATTGTCTTTCCTATAGTGTGGTGACCAGAACCGTGCACCATAGTCAAGTTGTGACCCTACCAGTGTCTTGTACAGTTTCATCTATATATCCTACTTCTGTATTCTATACCACCTCCAATTAAGGAAAGCATTCCATGTGCTTTCTTTACAACTTTATCTACCTGCACTGCTGCCTTTAGGACTTGTGCACTTGCATCCAAGATCTCCCTTCATCTGCCCCTCAGTATTTTCCTGTTTATTGTGTATTCCCTTTCATTGTTTGACCTCCCTAAATACATTACCTCACACTTAAGAGGTGAACTCCATCTGCCACTTTCTTGCCCACTCCAACCCATCTGTGTCATTTTGGAATTTGCGGTTAACCGCTAATTTTTGTCAGTAAATTTCCCAATTGTGCCCCCTATATTCAAGTCCAAATCGTGAATAGATAAAGCAAACGGAGATTCTAAATCCAAACCCTGCAAATCACCGCTTCAAACAACTTTCCATTCACAAGGGCAGCCATCGACTATTACCCTTTGTTTCCGGCTTAAAAAGCCAACTTTGGGTCCAATTCAGTACCTTACCTTGTATCCCATGGGCTTTTACCTTTTTTGACCAGTTTTTCATGTGGGACCTTGTCAAATGCCTTACTAAAATCTATGTAAACAACATTCACTGTACTACTCTCATCAATCTCCTTTGTCACTCGTCAAAGAATTCAATCAAATTTAAAAGGCGTACCCTTCCCTTTAAAGCTGTGCTGACTATTCCTGACTAGACCATGTCTAACTAAGTGACAGTTTATCTGTCCAATCAGGATTGATTCTAACATTTTGCCCACGACTGAAGTAAGACTAACTGGTCTATAATAGTTGGGCTTTTCTTTGCACCCTTTTTAAACAACTTTTGCATTCCTCCAGTCCTCTGGCACCTCGTTTGTGTCTAGTAAAATTAATCCTCGGAGCATCTGTTATTTCCTCCCTGACCTCCTTCAACATCCTAGGGAACAATCCAGTTGACATCCACTTTTAAGGATTCCAACTCCTCCAACACTTCCTCTCCTGTTATGATTACTTTGTCCACTATTTTGCCGAACTTGTCTCGGATTGCTATAATCCATATCATCCCTTTCCTTTGAATATGGAGACACAAAATCTATTTAAAGTTCTCCCACATCCTCTGCAGCTTTACAAGTTCTGTTTGTCTCTGATAGGTCCCATAACTACCTATCTAAATAACTAACTATCCTTTTGTTCTTTACACGCGGGTGAAACATCTTTGGGTTTTCCTTTATCTTGCTTGCTAAATTTTTTTCATGCCTTCTCTTTTTGATTTCTTTGGTTTCTTTTAACATGATCCCTGTACTTTCTATAAACCCCTTGGCAATCTGCAGTGTTGTTTTTTTTTGTGGCAATCATAAACTTTCCTTTTTCTGTTTAATTTTCTTCTTATTCTAGACAACCTTGGGGTCTAGATTTAGCAGCACCATTCTTACTTTTGGAGGGACATGTCAGCTTGTGACCCAGGATTTCAATTTTTAGTGCCTCCCACTGATTTGCCACTGGTTTTATCCCTTAGCTGTCCTGTCCAGTCCTTCTCAGTTTTGTAAAATTTACCTTTGCGGAGTTATATTTTTACTCCTAATTTATCTGTGTTCTTTTCTATGATGTTCAATCTAACCAAATTGTGGTCACTATCACTAATATGGTTGCCCACTGTCCCTTAACCCACTTGCCCCTCTTCATTTCCCAAGACTAAATCCAGAATTGCATTTTCCATATTTGGGCTTGTCACGTTATTTGAAAAAAACATTCCTGGACATAGTACTTTTTTTATCCCCCCTCACCCTTTGCCTCTGTTTTTAACCCCAGTTAATATTGGGATAGTTGAAATTTCCTGCTGTTTATTGCCTTTGTATTCCTACAGGCAGAAACTTGTCTACATAAGTGTCCTTCTGTCTCCCCTGACTATTTGGGGGTCTGCAGTGTATGTCTAGTAGTGTGGCTGTCTTTCTTTTATTCCTAAACTCAAACTGTAAAGCCTCATTTGTTAACCCATTTAGTACATCATCCCTTCTTGCAAGTGTAATTTCTTTAACCAATACTGCTGCGACACCTTTTTTTTTCGGTCACCCACTCTATCCTCCTACCCTTATCCTAAGGTGTCAATTTTGCCTCTCCTTTAGCCAGGTTTCTGATATAGCAATGACATCATGCTGCCATGTCTTATCTGTGCCCTTAGTTCATCTGCCTTGTTTGCAATACTCCTTGCATTTGAAGTATAAAACAGGCTCAGCCCCTACAATTTCCTTTGCTGAACACTTGTTTAAATCCTTGATTCTTGTGTCTTTCCAAGTCACTGACTATATCACTATAATGTTCTGCCTCCCTTTTTCCTGATCTGAATCTGACCCATATAAGCCTACACATTGGTTCCCATCCCTGGTCATAGTAATTTAAAACCTCACCAATGGAACTAGCAAAAGACCCTGCCTGGATATTTGACCCAGCTCTGCCCAGGTGTAACCTGTCAGACTTGTACACATCCCACCTTCCCCAGAACCAGTCCCAATGCCTCAAGAATTTAAATCCCTCCATGGTACACCATTTCTCCAGCCACATATTCATCTGATCTATCCTCTATTCCTCCTGTCACTAGCGTGGTGGCACTGGGAGTAATCTTGAAATTACTCCATTTGGCGTCCTACACTTTAACTTATCTCCCAACTTCCTATTCTGCGTTCAGGTCCTCACCTGTTTGTTTACCTCTGTTATTGATAACTATGTATACTATGACCACTAGCTGTTCACCCTCCTGCTCTTGAATGTCTGGCAGCTGCTCCTTGACATCTCTGAACTTGGCACCAGGCTGGCAGCATAGCATCCTGGATTTTCATCTGTAGCCACAGAAACGCCTGTCTATACCCCTTACTATTGAATCCTCTATTGCTGTAGCCCTGCCGCTTGTTTTTGTCTCCTTCTGCGCAGCAAGGCCACCCATGGTGACATGAACCTAGCTGATGCTTTCCACTGAGAGGCCATTTTCTACCGCCCTCCACTGCCCCATCAGATCCAAAGCAGTATTCCTGTTTGAGAGGAGGATGACCACAGGGGAATCCTGCACTGCCTTCCTGAGCCTTTTGTTATGTCTGGTCACCCCTGAATGACTTGTGTAGTAGAGTTTATCAAATGATTTCTTAAAATGCTCTTTACTGAAATAAAATCTCTATTTCACACGGGCAAATCATTAACTTTCTTGAATTAATTGCATTTAGCAAGTCAAGAGCACAAGAATTAGGAGCCAGAAAAGGCCATTTTGAAACATGAGCCTTCTCCATCATTTGGGAGGATCTGTGCTCACCTGACTGTGTGGCCTCAAATTCGCTGTCCTATCTGCTCCTCCATAATTTTCACCTTCCTTGTTAATCAAAAATCTAAGCCTTGAAAATATCCAATCTTCTCCAAACCTCCATTGCAATCGGGGGAAGAGAATTTCCCAGTCTAACATCTCCCCTGCCGTAAATGGGACATGTCTTTTTTTTAAACTCTCGTTAGTTCTAGAGTCTCAGCAATCAACCTATCAAGTCACCTCAGATCTTTCATGTTTCAACAAGATTAGCTATATATTTCAATGGGTAGAAGTTCACACTTGTATGCCAAACTCCCAATTACTTAATCTGGCTGTATCCCTTTTGCTGACTTAAGAATAATTACCATTAAGATGGGTCAAAAAGTTGTCAGCAAATTTAGCAAGCATATTGTTTTGTTCCCTGTGGTATTGGTACAATTTCCACACTGGAATGGACTGGACAAAGATACTTCCTTACTAAATCCCATTATGGAGGGCAGTGATAGCAGAATAAAAATTTGGTACAGCATTAAAGACAGGAGAGAATCTTATTAGCTTTCCCTCAGACTAGAAATGCCTGCCTATTGCCATGGGATTGAACGTGGCTCTCTTATAACGCTGTTGTCAAAACTCCCACAAACAATGAGCTTTTGGCTGGAATTGTCCTCCACTTATGTGGAAAGCTGGAATAGTTTTCCAGGGCAGCAATGGTTTTTTTTTTGAGGAAATCATGAAGGGTTTTGTGGAATGTACATTGTTTCTATTGGGAGGAAGGTTGGCAGCCAGACGAGTGGATTTATTGTGTTGACAATGGAGGCAAGGGGACAAGTAATCCTAAATAGGAGTAGGCTCCTGGCCTTTTCTTGCATTTGTTATACCATTGAATAAGATCATAACTGATCTACTATTCCCAAATCCATTGACTCCTTTTATTGATATGGGTAATGTCCATTTTCGTGGAGAGAATTCCAAAAGTTCAAAACTTTAATGTGGGAGAAAATTTCAGCATTTTCAATTTGGAATGGATTGCTTAAGGAGATGACTAAAAGAAATTTGAGAGCATCTTTTTAGAAGAAATTGGATCAGTACTTTAAAAGAAAATTTTGCAAGGTTATGGGAAAGAGTTGGGAAGTGAAACAATTTGGATAGCTTTTTCACTGTGCCAGCACAGGCATGGTGGATGGAGTGATCCACTCCTATGCGATACAATTTGCCGGAACAGGAGATGGCTACAGTTGGTGTTGCATTAAGGGCATGGGATCCTTTAAAGAGGGGTTTGCAGGAGAAATTGGAGAATAAATTTGGTTTGCTTTTTTCTTCTCCCAGTGGAGGGTTCTGATAAAGCATCTGCATGCATGGAGCTCATGAAGTGGAGAGTGAAGGAGGATGCGAAAGGCAGGAAGTGGTGAGACTTCTTTGGAAAAACCATAAGAATACTTCAGGACCTTCCAAGTTGTGGTGTCCAAGTGGATGATATACTGAATGCATTCACTGCCTCATGTAATTAAAGAAGATACTATTTATTCAATGTCATGTTTATTTGTGGTGAGAGATGGTGATAAGGGAGTGGGTCCAGAATATAATATAAACTGGGCTCATGAAAATTTGTTGGAATTTAAAACTCTGAGCTAAAAGGAGGCCAATAAATCTCATGTTTGAGACTTAGTTAATTTCTAAGGATGAGTTTGAATTACTGATATTTAATTGTGGTGTACTATATGCTAACAATCCAGCAATATAATTTCTGTAATAGTGAAGCTGTAATTGAACACTTATTTAAATGTATATTTGGAAATAGTTCATAATCTGTGGTTTACATGTATTTTCTGAAGACTTTTGATAAATGTGGCTGCTTTGTGATTTCCATTTCTCTTTAGATAGTGAGGGTCTATGCTGGGATATTTGAGTAACTCTTCAAACTAATTAACTTCTATTGGTAGAAATCCTAGTAGCTAGTCTCGCAAAAAGAGACAATTACTGTGGTCTTTTTTGTCAAATTGCAGTATCTGCCAGAAAAATATCATGTCTGAATGTGAACATAGTACCAAGTCTAGTAAGACTGGGAAAAAAAAACATTTCATAAAAATGAAAAGTACTTTGTAATTGTAATAACCATCTCATTGCACACATGATACATTGGTCTAGAATATCAGTTTGTCTACCTTTCCCAGTCCTCAACCTATGCACTTAACTACACTGTTAGGTTTACATGTCTCTGGGTACTTCTTGGCAAAGATGATCCATTCAAACTTATTAAAGCAGTTTGGTATTTGCTTTTTAAAATATTTTCCAGGAACAGTTTGCCTGTTTTTGTTTTGTAGCTGTTCAAACAATTAGAGAACCTGTTGCAATACCCTTCCTATCCACTGAGCTGCATTGAAGAGCAGTAACTGTTTAAATTTCTACACAGTCTGATCCTTCTACTCCACAATTCTCACCACCTCGACTATAATACCTTTAATTCCTTTAATTGCAGCAGACCAGATTTTTGGATGGGCGTGAATGAGGGTATCAATACTCGTGGCTATTAAGGTGTAAATGGATAGCTATTTGTCATGTAAGCATACGGAAAGAGGATTCTGACTTTCACTGCTGTTCTGCGAGCTTCAACAAGAGACTACATAATTAAAATGTGAGAAATTGTGGTGTTAATTTTTTCATTATCCAATAAAGATGTCAAAAAAATTAACTCCTGTGTAAACTTTGAGAAATGCACCATGTCTGACTTACTGCCCAACAGCCTCTTTGGCACTGCAAATGTGTACGTGTCTCATTCTCATTCTATGGATTTTAATTATTGTTGGAAAAAAATAGAAGTTAAATATTACTTTGCCTTTTCTTTCGCTCTTCCTCTTTAATTCCATGTTTCTATCCTTGTTTCACTTTGAGTGCTACCATTAAATTAAATATTCTAGTTAGCACATCCTGGTTTAATTTTTGCAGAAGTGGTGGAGGAGCCCTACTGCGCTTTGGTTTGTTTACACAGGTTCTTCATCCCTTGTAAAGTTGCATTAATCATTAGCTTCCTGCAAGTTGACATGCAAGTACATGTAAAACTGTGGGCAACTATCTCTATTGAAACCTAGAGAATAGGAGCAGAAGTAAACTATTTGGCTGTTCAAGCCTACTGTGCCATTCCTTGATCATGACTAATCCTGCTCTTTCTCTCTTTTGATCCCTTTAGCTGTAAGGGCTATATCCAACTCCTTAGTCTTTGACAGTGACTTCTAGTCCTGGTCTCCCTGCAAGAAGGAACATCCTTCCTGCATTGCTCCTGTCTAGTTCTTTTAGAACAACACCATTGTCCTAAAAGCTGGGCCATTATTTCTCTCTACTAGATGAGATTTGAAATTCTTAATATGCTGTAAATGAGGTTATACTGATTTATGAGAATTACTTGGGGTAGGATGAGTAATAAACATTTGCATGATACTTTCATCCCATTACTGAGCAAAAAGGAAAGATAAAACTCATTTTTGAATATGCTACTCAAGCTATATTCTCATCCTTTCGCTATGAAGGCCAGCATGCCATTAGCTTGCCTCAGCACCTACTGTACCTGCATGGCAACCTTTGGTGACTGTTTCACCATGACACCCAGGTCTTGTTGCACCTCACCTTTTCTTAAACTGCCACCATTCAGATGATAATCTGCTTTCCTGTTTTTGCAACCAAAGCGGATAACCTCACATTTATCCACATTATATTGCATTTGCCAAGTATTTGCTCACTCGGCCAGTCTGTCCAATTCACCCTTCAGCCTCTTAGCATCCTCCTCACAACACACACTGCTACCCGGCTTAGTGTAATATGCCGATTTGGAGATACAGCATTCACTTCCTTTGTTCAAATTGTTAATGTATATTGTGAACATCTGGGGTCCCAGCACTGAACCCTGCAGTACCCCACTCGTCACTACCTGCAACTCTGAAAATGATCCATTTATTCCAACTTTCTGCTTCCTGTTTGCCAACTAGTTCTCTATCCACATCAATACGTACAGTGAGCTTTAATTTTCCTTCCTCATCTCTTGTGTGGAACCTTGTCAAAAGTTTTTTGGAAGTCCAGATATGCGATATATGTTGATTCACCCTTGTCCACTCTACTGGTCACAACCTCAAAAAAATTTCCAAAAGATTTGTCAAGCACGATTTCCCTTTACTGAATTCATGCTAACTTGGACCGATTCTGTCACTGCTTTCGAAATGCTCAGTTATTACATCCTTGTTATTACATCATTGTCACCACTTGCTGGGGTATGGTCTGGTAATCAAATCCCACTATTCCTGTAGTTTTCATAAGTATTTTTTTTTAATCGAACTATTCAAAGTCCCATGTTTTCTGAAATACAAGCTCAGGTTAAAAGAAGACACTCATTAGTTTTCTGTATTTTAACAAGAAAACAAATATTTTTCATAAATGGATTATAATGTAATAAACTGATAGTATATGACAGATGAGTCACTGATGTACAACTTTCTCTCTACCTTAAACTCTACCCCTTTTAAAAAGTTCTCATTGGTACACAAAAATTCATAGCACAACACAAGCAGGTAGGAAAAGAACAAAGCAAATCACTGAAGCACAGTTCTGGCACCAGTCTGGATTGCTGATCACAATAAGCTGTTTTCCTTCAATTTCTTTCAGCTTTTTTGGGAGGAGATAAGGTTGTGGGCACACTCTCAATCGTTCATTCACTAATTGAGGATTTCTGCTTTGTGTTTCTGACGGTGTTTTTCTCCACCTTTGTATTTCGTGTCAAGAAGGGACTTTTAAGAGTGAGAGAGCATACCAAGCTGCTTGGAATGTTCTTTAACTTGTCCACTGGCAGAGGAGGGGAAAGATATTTACTCCTTCACAGACTGGGTGTTTCTATTGAATTGTCCAAACAGAATTGTAGTGAAACATTCAGGAACCAATCACAAAGCTGTTACTATGCTGAGTACTTCTGAACTCCCGAAGAAGGGTAATACGCAAAACATTGCGTGCTCCTTTCTTTGGGATGCTGCCTGGCCTGTTATGTTCTTCCAGCCTCTTGTTTGTCCAGCTTGGATTCCAGCATCTGCATTTTTGTTTTTGTCTCCACTCAGCTAGTCCTGGTTGCAAAACCAATCAGAAGTCTGCCACGGGTCAAAATCACCCCGTGTGTGTACACAGCCATGGAGACCGTGGGTCAACCACACAAAAATAAACAGAAATTGTTGGAAGATCTCAGCCGGTCTGGCAGCATCTGTGGAGAGAAATCCGAGTTGACGTATCGGATCGAGTGGCCCTGCCTCAGAACTGGGTTAATTCGGATTTCTCTCCACAGATGCTGCCAGACCTGTTGAGATCTTCCACAATTTCTGCTTTTGTTTCAGATTTCCAGCATCCGCAGTTCTTTCAGTTTTTTTTTATCTGCTGTCAACCAACCTCCTCAACTGCTTAAATAAGACAATATTGTAGGTATAACAGAGTTCCAGTCACAGTTATTTTTCTAAAAAAAACACTGCACTATCTTCCACCACAATAAAAAAGCGCTCTGAATGCTGTGGACCTAAACCTGCCTCTGAACATTTGAAATCTCAGCACAGGGCAATGGCTGTTGCGAAGTGGAGTATGGTTTCCGCGCTGATTTCCCTTTCTGCTGAATTTGTGTATTCCGGGACAGATGCATATCAGAATGTCCCCGTCCCCAAATCCCCAGCATGGAAAGTGTCAGCGTTTTTAATCCAATCGGGGTCGCAAAAGGGGTTACCGATCCCGATCGGAACATCTGGGCCATTGTGCCTGAATCTACTTTAACACACAACAATGGATTTTAGAAGTATCTGACAAGTATCGACGATTTGTCTCTTCCTCCAGACATGGCCACGGTGAACTTTAGAAACTTTTGCTCAATTTCAGAGTTGGGTGGGTGGGTGGTGCATCGCTGGTGTTGTTTGGTCTTTCTGTTTTTGTTTTTTTTTTCTGATTTGGCACCTGTTAAGTTGCACTGTCACGGCATTTTGGTGTTTGTACTTAATACAATCTTGGTTCTGGACATATGCTGATGATTTCTGCTGGAGGATTTCAGGTGACATCAGTCGAGTGTTAGACATAAGCTTCCTGGCCGGAGCTTTAGATCATGACCAAGCTGCACGTCACAAGCATCTTTCATTTTTCCCGTGTTTTGAGTCATGCATCCTGTACTTCTGGAAATATTGAATGATTGAGAAGTGTTGTCTATTAGATATCCCCTGGTGACAGAATGGCCCTATTGAATGATATCAATATTCACAAGTAGCTACGTTGCACCAGTGTTTTCTTTGACAGCATTTCATGATTCAGGATTTTAGACTTTGACCATAATTCCAGCACTTTTCTGGACGTTTTAAAGGATTATGCAGTATATCGGTCTCTAATGTTGGATGGACCTAATAGTTGCGGTGTGCGGAGTGGTTCATTGCTGGCAGCAATTTTAATTTTCAGGGCTTGCTTAGGAAATATTGAGGTACAGAAAACGGCTTGCCGCGGTTGTTGGAACAAAATAAATTTGGAATGAAGATGTTCTTTCCAGTTGAATCTTGGAAATGCTGTGGTCTTGTTGCAACTTTTTATAGGATGATTAAAGCTAGCTGGAGTATTTAATCGCTATGCAAGTTCCTTCCAGCTTTTCACGGGTTAAATTAGTTCCGAGTTGTAGTGCACGCTCTGAGTTTTTCCTTTAGTTTTCATCTCTGCCCATGTGATTATAATTTTGGATCAAAAATTAAACTTTTTTTTGTTTGTTTACATTTGGCCAAAAGTGTGATGCTTAGAAAATGGGCAGAAGCCGTATTTTAGATAGCCTCATAATCGTTTCTGTAGCGTAGAAGGGAGTTGCACAATGCGACCCTGCAGAATCCTGTGTGGAGCAGGCTCCAAAAGAATTGCCTGGGAAATTGAAGATTCGTCAAGGCAAATCCCCTACAAATTCCAAAGTATCCATTTTAAATCAGAACTTGGAGGGTTCTATTTGAAATTAAGTAAACAATTACTCCAAAAAATATTTGACTGTTAAATACCTAGTTTAGTCATAGAATCACTACAGTGGGGAAACAGGCTGTTAGGCCCAAGTCCACAACGACTCTCAGAGCATCCCACCCAGACCCATCCTAATCTACATG